AAATGAAATGTGTCTGTTTACACTGCACAATTGCTGTGTTCCATGCTCATTGGACTATTTAAAGTTATAAATTGAGTTTTAAAGTCGTCTTCCTGTTTTCTTTGTGTGCACAGCAAATAAATAAAGTAATTAATTAATTTACTGTTTTCTTCCTATTTCACAGTTTTTCATGATTCTCACTGTATATATGAGGACCAATATACCATCTTGCAGTCGCATTTGTAAACTTTATCTAGCTCAAACATCTATTATCCTACTTTCATTATTGGTCATATTGAAGACGATATTTATATACTTGGCATTGGAACACAATATACAGGGTTACCGTCGATCGACTGTAAAAACGACCTGACATTTTATAAAAATGACGATTTCGGTGTATTCTCATTTGAACTACTCCCGTTTGTTCGTTTGAACTATTGTTCGTTTGAACTATTGTTCGTTTGAACTATTGTTCGTTTGAACTATTGTTCGTTTGAACTATTGTTCATTTGAACTACTGACATGACGTCATATCCTGTAGTATAAATCAACACATTACTTGCTCATTTAAACTATTTTTCTACCATAATTCATTTTTAACATTTTTTTTATAATTCATAATTGGATAACAATTACACAGAAATGTTTCAAATGAACATAAAAATAGTTCAAATTAGCAAAAATTAGTTCAAATGAACATAAAAATAGCTCAAATGAACATAAAAATAGTTCAAATGAATATAAAAATAGTTCAAACGAACATAAAAACAGTTTTATGCTATTTTTTGTTCATTTTAAATATTTCTTTTTTCATTTTTTTTTTGTCTTTTTGAACTATTTTTATGTCTTTTGAACTATTTTAATGTTCGTTTGAACTATTTTTATATCCATTTGAACAATTTTTATGTTCATTTGAACAATTTCTTTTTTAGTTTTAACTATTTTTAGGTTCATTTAAAACATTTCTGTGTAATTATTATCTAATTAATTTGTATGACCTAACTTCGTGAAGAGAGAGAGAGAGTTTAGTCTGATCAAGTATGAATTAGATATTAATGTTTATAATTTCAGCGAAAGGATTATCTAGAGGTTAAGCTATAAGTTTAGATAGAGGTTCATCTAGATAGAGGTTCAGCTGTAGGTTCAGCAAGAGGTTCAACTAGAAATTCAGCTATAGGTTCCGCTAGACCTCTAGAGTTTCAGTTAGAGGTTCAGCTAGAGGTTCAGCTTGAGATTCAGCTAGAGGTTCAGCTAGAGGTTCAGCTGGAGGTTCAGATAGAGGTTCAGCTATAGAGGTTTAGCTAAAGTTTCAGCAAGAGGTTTAGCTAGGGGTTCAGCCTAAGGTTCAGCTAGAGTTTTGCTAGAGGTTCAGCTAAAAGTTCAGCTAAATCATGAAAAATTCAGAACATGTATATTGCATAGTGTAAACTGTAAGCCTGTACAACTTTTAGACAATTTGAACACCATTTTAGAGATAAACACAAAGAATTCTCTGCAGTCGATGATGGTTACTTGAAGTTTTTAGAAGTACATTTATTGCTTCTAGATATAATTACATGATAAATAAAAAGTGTATAAAAGGAGAGGAAGTTGAGTAGGTCTTCTCTGGTTCCAAGATCTGACACCTCCAGGAGTAGCCGAGGTTTAGTTTATTTGCTCCAGGAGTAGCTGAGGTTTAGCTTATTAGCTCCAGGAGTAGCTAAGGTTCAGCTTATTAGCTCCAGGAGTAGCTAAGGTTTATGCTTATTAGCTGCAGGAGTAGCTAAGGTTTATGCTTATTAGCTCCAAGAGTAGCTAATGTAGGTTGAAGAAATAGTGAAGTTTAAGCTTGAAACTGTCATCCTCCTTCAAATCTTGAGCTGTTTCCGACCAAGAGGTTGTGTTTTCGGCCATGGTTATCTTGTTGTCTGGGGTCACCACTTTAGAAGTACATTTATTGCTTCTAAATATAATTACATGATAAATAACGAGTGTATAAAAGGAGAAGAAGTTGAATAGGTCTTCTGTGGTTCCAAGATCCGACATGATTTCAAAATCCTCTTTCGGGGATTTCATCCTCTACAAGTTACACTTACAGTGAAAAGTAAGTCCCTTTTTAGTTAGAGTTTGTGGTTTTAAGTTTTTCAATATAATTACGCGTGACACATGTTTATTTGTCGTTTTAATTATATAAATGATTCTGTGGTTATTTTTTTCAATGTTCAAGACCGGGTCGACTTTGAAGTGTCGCAATGCCTCGGTATTTGATTTTTCTTATCATTTTCATTATGCTTTTGTTGTGGACTGTGGCTAGCTTAATTTAGATTTATGACGCAATTATTTCTAGATTCAGTTTAAAAGGCTGATTGGAGATTTTTTGCTCGAGAGCGCGGCAAACTTTGTTTCAATGTTAATAAAGCAATGCATCATAATGTATTAAGCATAATGCATCATAATGTATATCCAATATTCATAATACTTTTTAAAAATTATCCCTGTCATTAAAAACATAAATATTTATTTAGCTGCAGTGGCTTTTGAGATGTGGTAACAAGTTCCCTTGATTACAACGGTTTTATGATTTTTCTCACCAATTATCATGGCGCAGAAGGTATGACGCAGTGACGCAGATATATATATCCTATATAATATATATTTGTCATGAATGCGTATACATTGTTTAATAAATTGTATAATGGTTTCAAACTGAACAAAGTGTATACAAGACTAATTACAGTTTACTTGTTTTCAAGGATGGTTGGACCCAAAACGTCATTGTTTATATTTAGTATTGCAGTTACTTAATCCTATTCTAACCATCCCCCCCCCCCCCTCTACATCATTCACGTCTGAAAAATTAAATATATTTGTAAACAACAAAAATTTAAAATTAACTTCTTAAAAAAGTGTAGTCGAGCCTATTACAGACCGCCTTCCCCCCCCCCCCCCCAAACAGGTCCCAAGAGGCAGGGACTGTACAGGGTTAAGATATAAATGCATTCTTATACATCATAAAGATAGCGGGTTAATCAGTCAACCAAGAAAAATGGAAAATAAATAATATTTTAAAACAGAATTTGTTGTAAATATAATAATAAATGTAATATTCTCTCTTTTTAAAACAGAATTTGTTGTCAATATAATAATAAATGTAATATTCTCTGTTTTTTAAACAAAATTTGTTGTGAAAATAATTATAAATGTAATATTCTCTCTTTTTAAAACAGAATTTGTTGTGAATATAATAATAAACGTATGTGATATGCTCTCTTTTAAAAACAAAATTTGTTGTAAATATATGATAATAAATGTAATATTGTCTCTTTTTGCTAAAGTTTTATGAGGTGCATCGATGATTGAAATTTTGTTTTTCCAATTTGATTTGTAGGGGTGCAGGGGGGGCAACCTTGTTATACCACCTAGATATGCCCCCGGTTTAAATATTGTTTTACCAGATTTTTAATAAATCAAAATATTAGTCCAACGCCCAAAACATAGAGCATGCAGTATTCACAAGAAAATTTTAATATATTTATTTTCTAATCCGTTGTTACAAGCACTGAGATTGAGATATAGCCAATTGACTGATGAGATGATAATAAAGGGTTTGTTAACAGTTCTCAAGCTAGCTTGAGAGTATGCAGTGTACTCAATTAAAGGGAATGTACTAATTTATATATTTTAATCAACAAGTTACAATTTCTATTATTTTAGTATTTAATCTTGACTTCTCAATGCTGAAACAAATTGGCTTCATTTTTTTCTAGATGCTTTTTATTGATTTGTCCCTTTAACCACAACGGTCCGTGTTATAAAGGGCAAGATTGCAATAAACTGTTTTTATAGTTTATGCATGCTTGATGCCGGTTGTCTATTCATTTCATCCTAATTCAAGCAGTTTTCCATGTAGGTCTAGGCCGAGAGGGTTTGGGGGGGAGGAGGCGTGAAAGAGAGAGGTGAAAGGGGGGGAATGAAAAGGGTTTGGGGTGCAAAAGGGACGGAGTAGATCTGCACTCTAATAATATGAAGTCTAGGTTTAATTATATCTCAGCTTGGGGTATTTGAGTTTGAACTGACTGATGCTTCAAATTCAAGAATTTTTGACAATAACATTTGTTTATCACAAATTATTTAAGGACAGTGAGCGTAGGTTTACATATATATTATATATGTACATAAACTCTTTTCTTTTGCTCCAAATTTTAAGAGCAAACAGAAAATTATATCTAACCCTGAATTTTAAACTTCCTGTCTCATTACATTTTATATTTATATTTGCATAATTTCAGAGGTATTATAACTGTATACAAGTCTGCTATACAGCCTTAAATATTTATTTTGCAAATCTATATAAATATGCATAAATTAGTAATCTCTGTTTGTCTGTTTGCTTGGATGTCCGCCGTCCGGTCATGATCTTATGAACCGATTTGCCTAAAATTTTGACTTTCAGGGACTCGGTAGAACTGCACAGAAATCTATTAGGCAGAGGCTTGATTTTATGTTGATTCAAAGCTATTCATCTGTATAAGAATAAAGTAGAAGATATTAATTCAAAAAAAAAACTTTTCAGTGTTTAGATTTTTGTATTCGCCTACTCGAGTTCAACATCTACAACAAAACTATTTACATGCATAGAAATACAAAAATTTGGATATTAAAGATTCACTCCCAAACTGAGCTTCCCCCCCTTCCCTGGATTGGAAATTGTCACATTCATGCATATACTTCCCTTTTCACTTCTTATAGCTACGCCCCTGGTTACTACTCACAGATCTGTGTTTTTTTATTTATAAAGAATGTAACGCGCGGCCAGTTTTCTTTTCATTTCCCTCTCATTTTCATTCCAAGAAATTCATTCATCTCCGTAATTTTTCCAGGATAAATTGGAAGCAAGCCTAGTGAAGAGTCATCCGGTCCGGGCCGGAATCTGCCACTCCCCGAGCCGGCTCCAAACAGGGCCAGGCGGCGGACCGGGCCACCAACCTATCGTCAGTCTAGCCTGCTAAAACGCCGCGAGATTCCCAGCTAAAAATACGTCATTTTGCCAGCAGTCGGTTCACATTCACTTTCTAGCCTTGTAGTCCCCTGCAACAGGTCCTCACAGACCAATACTCTACACTGCCAAACATACAATACACTTTTTTATCAGTTATTTAGAAGCAGTGAATTCCGTCTTATCAGTTTATTTTGGTGTTTTATCTGTAGCTGTACAAGGAGAGAGTTAGTGGCATAACAAATAAAGTTATAAAACACACTCGAATATTAAACCCCGACCAAGGTATGTATAGTAATGTATATACATTGTGTATACATATATACTATATACATTTGTTAAAATGTCATGCATTCTTTACAAGTTAATTCATTAAATCATAACACAGAAAATTCAAAAACTTACACTGTAAAAAAAACCAAATGTTTTAATAGAAAAATAACAATATAAAAATATTTTTTTCTTAGGACAGACCCCTTGTAGCTTTTCAAACGCTTCGAATCTTCTTTTCCAATAAAAAAATGTTAAAATGTTGCTCTTGAAATCATCATGTTTTTCTTTTTTTTTAACTCAACTTTTTGCGAATTATTTTTTGTTTTTTTTGATGAATTTGCAACAGGGAAATGTCGACATTAGCTTAACCGGGCAATATTGTTAAATTTTGACTGCCTAATGGCCTAAATTCCTTTTCTGCAGGTGTTATGTTTGTTGCCACACAAAATTGGGGCCCAACCGGTTCAGCCGTTTTGACATTTATTGGAAACAAACAAACAAACAGATTAGCCAAATTTACAAAAAAAATTAATTTGTAAATATGAGCAAAGGAATTGAATTTTTTTGCCACCAATTCAAATCCCTGTATCTTTTCTATTGGTGTAAACCTTTGATATTTCAAACCAAGATTATTTGATTTAACAGAATTCATAGTTTGAAATATATTACAATCTCTAAATATTTTTCATATTAAGTATTAATAAATACTATAAACACCGTAAAGTGTTATTTTGCATTTAAACTTAATATTTTTAAGATGTCATTAATTTTCAATTTGATAAAAGAGTGAAATAAATCAGGTGGGTTGTCCCCCTGATTTTTTTCACATGAGAGGGGTTGATTTGCCTGCTGCACCCCACCTACAACCGCCCTTGAATTCATGTGTCCTTGATATTTTACGAATCTGTGTTTTGTTTTCTGTTTACATTTCTTTCAGATTGTTTATTTAATAAAACACCCATACTTCAAACATACCTGGAGCTAAATATTTGTAAAAAAAAGTTTTGAAAAGAAATGTAAATAATAATAAAAAAGTCAAAATACATGTAACAATCTTATAAACAACACAGAATAAAATAGTATCAATATATTTTTATTAATAATTAGAAACTCAAGCTTTAAAACCAATAGAATCAGAAGTGTATACAAGGCAGGGGGTTTGGATTAGTGAAATTTGAAAAGAAAAAAGTGTTAAGGCCCCCCCCCCCTGAAAAGAAAAAGTGTTAAGCCCCCATGGAAAAATTACTTTAAACGCCCCTGAAGAAAATGAAAGTTGTCACATTATATGTTAATGACATGTTTAAAATAATCGTCCTTGCACCAAATTTTATGAATTTGAGCTACGTCGCTAAGCTACTCAATGCCGGTTCAAAGGAATTAAGTGCTTGGTTCAAACTCTGAATTTTAATTCCTGATATCTTTGCAACCCTATTTCGTATACCTTTTTTCAAACTATAAATTCTGTTAGATCAAATCATCTAAGTTTGAAATAAAAAGATAAAAAATACACTATCGTCTATCATGTTGCAAAAGTAGGTTGGTTAGAAAACGCGAATTTGTGGCAAAAACTCAATAATTTTGAACCACAGATTCAAACTTAAAGTTTAAGGAAAACACTACAAACTAACCAGGAGGAGAAGGTCAATTTCAATTGACATAACTAGTTCGACTTTGTGACCTCGATCTGATTTTATGCACAAGTATTAAAAGGCAAAATTTTTCAATTACATTATTACAAAAATAGCAATTCAAACCATTTCTGTTGTTCCCATAGCCCTTCATTTAAGATGAGTTATGATAAAACCATATAAGATGTCAATCCAACGTACAGTTTATTTTGGTTTAACATCAAGGATTATTTGAACTGGTGCATAGTAGGCAGTTTGAAATCATTAAAATCGGTCCCTAATTGAAAAAAAATCATTGAGATAGAAACTATTGATGTTGTGATTTAAGGCAAAACAATCTCACACTTAGTGTTGTTAATCGTGTTGGTTTGTTCTTTTTACATATTTTCTCTGTGGGTTAAAAATGTTGCAATGTAGAAAAAAGAAAACGTTTTTAAAATATTTATTTCATCATTTGCTTTTCTTACTAGGAGTGTATATTTTCTTGGAAAATTATTACCCCTCCTTAAAAAAATCTTTTTTTCCCCAAATGTTAGATTTTTTAAAGATTTTTTTTATACAAAAATCATTTGGGGAAAAAATTCTTAACATCAGCTGGGGAAAAAATCATTTTAAAAAAAAACGAACCAAATCTTTCCGCAACACTACTCACAACAATAAAATGAAACATTTAATGTTATGTACAATCTTCGTCAAATATATTCATCCAATAAAGACGACTTTCGATTTCAATTTTGATTTATATCAAGCTTTAAAACAACACCATGGATGGATACACAATCCGCTTATTGTCTCTATCCCACCGCCATCCGTTCCAAGTCAGATATTTACATTCGCCAAACAGAAGGGCACGGTCAAAACAGCCACTGGCTTCCTACGCTCTCCTGGGCTCTTCTGATTAACTCTGTTTAACAGATTTTGGTTTTAATTTTAAGATGTGACGAATATTTGATTTAAATTGAAGAACAATAGAAACAAGATTCTCTTTATTTGCGTGCAATTCGAAAAAAAGTTTGTTAACAATCAAAACCTAAATACAAAAGTCGTCTTCATTGTATTTATATATTCGCCGACCACTGTATTAATACAGTGTATAACTTGCCTTAAAGTTAGTACACTGTACGGTATTTCAAATGACCCAAAGTTACTATTCAGGGGAAAAAATTTAAAAGCTTTATTTGTAATGTTACTTTAGTTTGACCGATTAATGTCATTCACAGCAATACAATTTATGTTTTGCAGAAGAAATTAGGGCTTTTAAAGACATCTTTGTTTTTTTCTCTTTAAAGGAAAAGTGCGCGAAAAATGATTATATTTAAATTAGATCGTTCGCTATTCTATTTCTACCCGATATATCTGTTAAGATAAAAAGTGTTTTGTTTCTGTCAGCGTTTCGGATCCGGAGGATCCGTATCATTTGGTCGGATCCGGATCCGGATCCGTATCAGGAAACGTTGATATGGATCCGGGTAGCGCCAAAAATTAACCAAAACCATGGAATAAATAAATCAAAATGGTTCGTAAATGTATTATTTACATGACGAAAATTTTTCAAAATTATCTTTAATAATTTAATGTTTACATTTATATAATAGTAATGACGACATTTTTAACTTTAGGATTACTCAGCGGCAAATGCTCACATGGCGCAAATTTCAAATATATAAAGTATTCACAGAATCAAAAGTTACCTCGGATCCGGATCCGTATCAGAGTCAGGATCCGGATCCATCATCACGGATGCGGATCCGCGGATCCGGATCCGCATCAAAATGATACGGATCCGAAACACTGGTTTCTGTAATCTCTTCTTTCTATTGAAAGTTTTTTTAGAATTTAATATTTTTTCATCAAGAAAATCCGGCCCCCCCCCCCTCTCATCTGGATTTTGTTTCTAAAAAGTGCATTGCTAAATTTAATTAATTCCATTCAATTTTATATTTTTAGTCTCAAGGTTAATTCAATTTTTATATATTTTATTTATCATTTTTAGAATTTTATATTTTAAAACAAATTTGAGAAGTTAAGAGTATTTACTGTAAACTATCAGTAAACGGCTTTATAGATTAGCTTAACATTTTTATTTTCATTTTTTTATGAATAAAATATCAAAAATATTAACCCACATTGTAGCTTATCAAGCATGAATATCTACGTCATATTTTCTTTATGTCAGCTGTACATTAGTGACGTAACTAGAAAATCCACGAAAAGAGAACGTAAAATGCGTGAGTTTTTATATTTACTTTTATTAAAATGACGGAGGAAATTATACTTTGCGTAAGTTATTATTAACGTTCTAAAACAACTTATTATATCATTTTGATAAACGAGCGCAAAAAAAAATAGTGCAGACTGCATACACTTTAGATTTCTGCGATAGTGTTTGTTTTCTTTTTCTTTTGTTAATTTAAAGTCAAGTTAAATGGACACTGTATGCAAGATTTGAAGTGGCAGACCATTTAAAGACGGCATTGCCCTATTTACAACGATACCCTAGAAACCTTTATCAATAATGTGGGAAATATTACCGTTTTTCTTGGTTGACAAGTTTTTAATTTTGATAATTCCAAATGTTTTCTTCAAAAAACAGAAACCACATCTAAAATTAATTAGTTTTCAATTTATAAACATTGATATCTATAGTTCATACTTGATCAAACACAGCATTTATAGGTACCGTTGTGAATCAGCATGTATAGGTACCGTTGTGAATCAGCATTTATAGGTACCGTTGTGAATCAGCATTTATAGGTACCGTTGTGAATCGAGCATTGTCATCTGTGCAGGGAGAGTCACGTGAAATTACACTGACAGCCCTTATAAGCAATAAAAAGCCTGCAGTTATCAAGTTTGCCATTTAAACTGTATAAAACAGAATTGAAATAAATTAGTTCAGAGAGAGTCGAAGCAAAACGAAAAAATGCACGCCGTCATTTTGCATCTTTTCACTGTGCAAATTTTTTGCAAAGATGTAAAACGGAAAACAAAATAAAATACAAATAAGAGTGTATTTGAAATTATTAAGTAAATCTATATTTAGCTTTGTGTTCGTTGGTTTGTTTGTTATCGATGTTGAAACGTCTGAACCAATCAGACCCAAATATTTTTTTAGAACTTCACAGTCACATGACCCCTACGATTTTTGTTATTTTTGTTAAAATACAAACGGTGGCAAGGAAAGCTAAAACTTATAATAGAAAAAATAGCGCAAAGCGCACTTAAACAGTATCATCAGTGAAAGTATATATTTATTTTAGATTTTATATATTCTTACATAAACTATATTACAACTATAGAATTGGAATGAATTATACAACATATAGAATTTGAATGTATCAACATATAGAATTTCAATGTTTTTATTATCTTAATATTTAAGAGAAGATAGTGTGATATTGATTGAATTTCGATTTTTGTCCAATCATTATTTTGTAATCTCTATATCTTTGCAATACAATGGCGTATACCTTACTTTAATCAAACTATGAATTATGTTAGATTAAATAATCTAAGTTTTAAATAATCAAAGATTTGTACCATCTGGTTGAAAAGATATAGGGATTTAAAATTTAGATGTTGTGGCTAAGACTCAATTTTTTTTATTTATTTTTTTATTTTTAGATGTGCAGTTTATGGATTTAAATTCAAGAAACTGTTGAAAACCAAAGGTGATATTTTAAAACAATATTGTAATTTTTGTAGAATTTCAAGCATGGATTTAATACTTTAATACTGAGGAAAAGAGCGACATATATTTATCTGAAAATCTTATTATATTGAGGGAAATATATTCGTATTATGCAAATACATCATAATTATAATAATTCTTTTAAATAAAGGGAATTATACCATAGGGTTTGTCCTTAAATGGTATTTAAACCACGGAATACGTCCACCGCCCACCCATAACTTTATAATCATCATTCTTTCATATTCAAATTCTACTTCGATAAAAAACCTTGAAATTTTAAATAGTTTTTACTTTTAGTGCTGTGTATACTGTACACTTTGCGCAGTTTTTTATTTTTTTATTTTTAGATTCTTTATCATCAGGCGACATGCTGATTTGAAATTTTTATATTAATTCTTTTTTGGACTGCTCATGAAATACTTATTTTAAAAACAATTCGCAGTTTGTAAAAAAAAAGATTTTGATGATGTCGATATACACTTAAGTATATTAACATAAACATTGTTTTTACTTTAAAACACTCTTCTTTATCATTTTGATTTAATCGAGATATTTTTGTTAAAGCCCTTCACTGTTTTCTTATCTTCTTTTTTCAATGAAAGAAAGTTTCTCTTCAACCAATTAAACTTAGAACACCAAGACTGATGCAATATAATCTTTGTTCCTGTTAAGAAAAAAAGTTTAATTGGTGAAAAGAATTGAGTCTTTGTCATCATGCAAACTCTGATCTAATCCCTGAAGTGTGCGGCCATCCATATATATTTCAAAACAGGGAATTATATTAGATCTAGCAATCTTATTTTTAATTATTAAAGGTTTGAAACTTCAGGTTGCAAAGATATAGGGATTAGTAAATGTCATTTTACAAATAATCTTAAGGTTTCAGTCATTTGTACAGACACATAGAATGAAAGATAATTTATATCTTAAACTTGAAGATAATTTTGTGTTAAATCACGGATCTATGTAAATAATATATAGGTTTCAGAATAATTGAACTAGATAAATGTCTAAATTATAGAAATATATTTTACTGACCCAATTGAAACAGGGGCGTATTCAGGAAATTTGAAATTTGTGTTTTGATAAAAATCTTGTTGTATATTTTGGTTGATATTTCATTGTAAACTCCGGTTCATTTCAAGTACCGGTCCGACTTTTAAGCGGCCAGAGCACATACAGATAGACTATATGAGGAAAACGGGACAGTACACCCCCCGTAACTAGGATTTTCTCAAGGGGGTGCAAAGAGAGATGTTGTGGTATGGGCCCAGAATCACCGAGTGAACCGTAGTAAACAAGGCGGGGGCTTGCAGGGGGGCCCCGAATATTTTCATAATGTTGGTATACAAACGAGCAATTGTAGCTTGAATTTTATGTTATTTAGGTTATTTAGGTTATTTTCTAATATGTCAACAACACTAGTAATTTAAGCTTGAACTTAATTTTACAGTAAAAATTTAATTTTATACCAAGAAACTTATTGCACCCCTCTTTTTAGGAGAAAGGGGGGTCTACCTCACTCCTTGCACCCCCCCCCCCCCGGTTACGGGCCTGAATCAGCCCCTCCGTGTCAAAGGAATTGAGTCTTTGTCATAAATTCTGATTTTCTATATCCTATATCTTCGCATTCCAATGTTGAAGACACTTGACATTTCAAACTTTGACTTCTGTTAGATCAAATGATTTAAGTTTGAAATATCAAACGTTTACGACATTGGGTTCTTAAGACATAGGGATTAAAAAATCAGAATTTGTGGCAAGGACTCAATTCCTTTATATCATTTTACCACTTGGATCCGGATCCGGGAAACAAACAATGTTGCGAATCCGGCCGGATCCTAAGCACTGTCTAAAATGTATGGTTAGTTAAAAAATCATCAACAATCTGAATTATCTTTATTTTGTTTTAGATTAGTAGTCCTGCTTCACGATGTTCCAGATCACGAAGAGTTTTAAATGGAGGTTTAGTTTTCTCTCCATCTGCTTGTTCGTCATCTTCTTCATAAACTCCGGGGTGGAGAGGAGCCAGGGGTTCACCAGCAGGCATCTTCTACAGGCAGGACCAGGAGCACATCAGGGGGCACTTCATACCATTTGTTCGGGGTTTTTAAATTTAGGATTTAATTAAAAGAGTAGTTTTTTATTACTGATACGCGCTTTAATTGTTTGTATGGTCAGCAAAATATGCAATATACAAATATAGAATTTGTCAATGAAAATAAAAACTCAAATTTTTGCAAAACCTTTTTTAAAAGTATTTTTTCTGTCATATTCTCCCTATGAGTAATTATACTTTATTGCATATTACTTTTTCGTTATAAAAAAAATCCCTCAATTTCAAGCAATTCAATTAAATACTTATTTACTTTCAATAAACTTTTTAAAAAAAATGTAACAGTTAAGATTTGAGTGGTAAATTTTTTTTAAAGATGCAAATTTCTTTACTAGATATCAAATAAAAAATCATATTTTAAAATTTTTAAAGTAGAAAAAAGTGTATGAGCTAGATTTGATGCATGATTTGAAAATGTTTTAGTCATGCAAAAACAAAAAATACTGATTTTAACTCAAAGCATAGCTTCTCATATTTGACATTTACACATCTGCAGGCTCAACTCTATGCTTTAAAGTTGAATATCTAAATTATCCCCATAAAATACAGTTAACATTTTGACATTTAGGTTGTAAAAGCTTGCAAAGTTTATATTAACATATTTAATATAGGATATAATCTACAAATCATGCAAATAAAAAGTACACCATCTTCAATCTATTTTTTTTATTTTCTTCCGGTGGGGGGGGGGGGAAGCACTATAAATATAAGATTTGAAGTCCCCTGAAGTCCTCTTCCTGTTCTCAAGGATGAAGACACTACTATTGAGCCCGAGGAACGACGAGGAGGAGAAGTAGATGAATGCGGAGTAGAGAAGAATAAAACTGAAGATGCTCTGTTCCCTCCAGATGCGTTTACAGACGACCAGCTGGCCCATGGCGCAGTGGTTCTTCATGTCATTGGGGTTCTCTACATGTTCTATGCCCTGGCACTTGTCTGTGATCACTTCTTTGTGCCAAGTCTTGATGTTATAATTGATAAGTTTGGTATGTCTCCAGATGTAGCGGGAGCCACCTTGATGGCAGCTGGTGGGTCAGCGCCGGAACTGTTTACTTCAGTGATTGGAGTATTCATCGCTGTGAGTGATGTCGGTATAGGAACTATTGTCGGCTCTGCCGTATTCAACGTTTTGTTTGTGATCGCAGCTTGTGCCTTTGCCGCGGCCAAACCTCTCGCGTTGACGGCCTGGCCATTGATCAGAGATACGTTGTTCTACTCCATCAGCCTTATTCTCCTCGTGATCTTCTTCACCGACAACCTGATCAAGTGGTGGGAGGCATTGATCCTGTTCCTTTGGTACGGAGCATATGTTCTCTTTATGAAATTCAACGCTCCGATGGAGGCTAAATTTCTTAAGACGTTTCCCAGCTTGAAAGGAAAGGAGGAAGATGATTCCAATGTTGATCTAAGAGCAGGGTTCAAGTTTAATCCTCATAGGAAACCACTTCTAGAGATTATGCAAGGTAAGGTTGCGGATGAAGTTGGAACAGAACTGCAAAACCTAGAAGGAGGAATACAGGGGTTAAAGAAGAAACTAGAGGGCAGCGACAAGGAAGAGAAGAAGGAAACTAATGAGAAGGATAACTTAACTCCGGAGAAGGGAAATGAAGAAAGAGATCTGGAAGTCCAAAATGAGGAGGATTACAAGGATGTTGTTATGTCTGGACCCCAGGGGAGTATTTTCAGTAAAATCGTCTGGGTTATCACTATGCCCCTGATGGTCCCTATGTGGATCACTACTCCAGATCCAAACAATCCAACAAGGAAGAAGTTCTTTGCTCTCACCTTCATCATCAGCATATTGTGGATTATGGTTTTCTCCTACTTCATGGTTTGGTGGGCAACTACCATAGGTCAGGTTGTTGGGATATCTGATGCTATCATGGGATTAACTTTCTTAGCCGCGGGGACATCCGTCCCGGACCTAATAACATCCGTACTGGTCGCCAAGCAAGGACATGGAGATATGGCGGTGAGTTCGTCAATTGGATCCAACATATTTGACGTCACTGTTGGACTTCCGGTCCCATGGCTCTTGTACACAATTATCTTCCAGAAGGACATGGTGGTCAACTCTACGGGGATGGGATGTAACATCGGGATGTTGTTCCTCATGCTCATCTTGGTCTTCTTCTCCATCCTGGCCTTCAAGTGGAGGATGACCAAGATAATGGGAGTTGTAATGATCGGTCTTTATGCTGTATTTGTGGTTGTTTCCTTGGGCCTGTCCGCCTGTTGGTTTCCTTGTATATTTTAAACAATTCTGCTGTTGTATGTCTAGAGTGAAACATCGTTTTTCATCTGTTTTTTGGCATTCAAGGTTCCTTAGCCTTCAGAGGAGAAATTTTCCATCTAAATATGAGACTTTAGAAACGACTGTACGAAACATATTCTGTCTGTTTACTTACATTCATAAATAAAAATAATGAAATGAAAATGAAATGAAATTCATGGTTCCCTTCAAATGTGAACTGGATTATCTCTTTGCCAAATCATAAAATAAACCAGTAAACGACGATATTTAAGGCAGACAACTTAATTTAACCTTGGAACCATCATATATAAAGAGTTTCAGGTCGTCTTTACAGTATCATCCTTTGTGGGTAACCCTGCAGTTAAATTATAGTTTCTTCTAGTTTTCAGTAATCGTGGAAAGTGTTTGATCTGATTCTTCTAAACTTTAAGAGCATTCAATTTTGAAAAATGTTTCACTGTTCAAATTTTCTAAATTCTCCGGAACACAATTCAAATCTTGAATGTTAAAAAGACGGGAAAATAACGATGCCCAACTCTATTTATATATTGTTCAATGCCAATTATTTACTCCAGAGAGGGTTCAAGTTTAGATTATTAAGCCTTCCTTTTTTTAAACGTGCACTACATTATTTAAATGTTTTGAATTTCTAAATTTAGTATCCCCTCTGTTCGTGCTAACCTCTATTCTCGTCTAATTTTGTTGACCAGATAAAGTTCATTTTTTCCTCGCTTATTTCGAAACAAACTCATATGACATTTTAATTTTTTGTTTGTTAACAAATCAATGATTTTTTTATCGATTATAGCCGAAGACCCAGTATTAATTTTGAGTCACAATTCCCCAAAATTAACCATGCTTTCAACGAGCTATGCTAGACGACCACTTTATTAACATTATAAAAATTATGTAAAGTGTAACCCTTAATTGTGCCATATGTGCGATTTGATTGATGTTCTAGATCATAAAATAACTATAGGTTAAAAGTAGAGTTAACGTGTTATTTACCTTTTTATTACAAAACAAACAGTAGGTTTTTACTACATAATATTTTGAATGAAAAGAACAGAAAAATATGTCATGTTGTAGCAAGTATTATGAATATATTCTGAAACCCACCAAGCTCCAGATATTTTCATGTTAGACAAACAAAATGAATACCTCTAAAATCAACAGAACAAAATTAGTATTTTAATCGTTTTTTAAACTTTAATCTTTAAACAACGTATCTAAAGTTTTACACATTTCAACCTCGAGTGCTTAGGATACATTTGATTTTCATGCGGATCCGGATCCACACTGTAAAAAATGGATCCGGATCCAGGTCTTCAATTTTTTCAAGATTTACTAATTTTTTCTACAGAAGAAGCATATTAAAATTACTATGCTTATAGGGCGCTTCGCGTACATCTTTTTTTCAATAATGAATATTTTCTCTTTGTATAATGTATACATTGTAAAGGAAAAAAAAAAAAAATCGCGGATTTTCAAAGTTTAATTAAAATAAAATGTTGTTGGAGTCAAATGTTTGAATTTTTATCGTCCTTGAATCTTCCCTTGGGTAATGTAAAGTCTCTTACAAAATTTTGGCTCAATAGTTTCAGCCGTTTTGACGTTTATTGGATACAATTCGCGTACATCTTTTTTTCAATAATGAATATTTTCTCTTTGTATAATGTATACATTGTAAAGCAAAAAAAAAAATCGCGGATTTTCAAAGTTTAATTAAAATAAATAGTCGGATCAGGTAAACATAGACTAACTTGTCTAACTGCAGATCCACTAAATCTGATGACCTCGCGATCTACACTGAAATGGAAAGACATTTTTTTAGTAAAAGAGTTGTGAATTTATGGAACAGTTTGCCGGGAGAAATTAAAAACGCTAGAAATCCTAAAATGTTTTAAAACATTTACCAACGACATTGATTGAGTAAAAATAGTGATACAAATAGTCACTTTTGTGAATCTAGACTCTACGCAGAAATTCTCAATGGGATCTAGAGATTAATTCATCAAATAACCAAAAAAAGACAGACAAGCCAAGTATATAACAGGGTGTCCCTAAACACACGGGAATTAAGTGACAAATTCGATATCGTCTTTGTTATGAATTAGCATTGTAATACCTGTTCAAAAGCCAATAATATTATTATTTCTGCTAGAGTTTATTTTATGAAAAGGGTAAAAGACAACAAAGATGTGTCTATAATGTCTCCATAAGATGAACAGTGAAGACGGACAAGTTTACTCTGCATACTGCAATTTTCTTGTTTTACTAAGTACATCCGTATATGCAGTCAGAACATAAACAAACAAATTGATAACATAGCAGAAGAAACTCTTACAGATTACAGCTTTCTCAGTAGGTATCACTATACTAAATCAAAGAATTGTTTGAAAAGAAGTTATCGAATTCGTCACTGAATTCCCATGTTTATTGGGACACCCTGCATATAAATTTTAGATAATCAATTCTTTTTTCAACAATTTAAATTTGGGGTTTGAGAGCAAAGATTTCAAAAAAGTTTTTTGTTGATATTTGAACCCTTTGATCTGCATCCTTGGATCCGCATATTTTTTTGCGGATCCGGATCCAGGAAGCCAACATGATGCGGATCATCCGGATCCTTAGCACTGATTTCATCACAGTGTTAGAACAAAAGCAATGTTACGACACTGACCAATATGTATGTTAATGTATTTTTATTGAAAAAATGCAAAAAAAATCAATTATATCTTGCAAAATTACTGATTGTTTGAAGATATGAAAGGAAGACGACATTCCTTAGAAATTAAGGTTTTTTTTCCTTTAAAATATAGTTTAGAACTAATGTGCCCATTTAATTCATGCGTTAACTAAAACATTTTAATATCTTAACATTCCTTTTTATGTTCAACATTTTGTTAAAATAGTTTAGAGGGAGAACCCACTGGGCTAATGCAGGACACCGGTATCCTATGGAGCGGAGTGCGGACTCTATACAGATGCTATATCGTTTGCACTAATGTCCGATTGAACTAACGTATACTTTTGCACTAAATTCAGCTGATCAGTAACACTTGTGGCCCGGCCCCCTAGCCTGTCCTAGCCGCAGCGCTCGGACCACAAATTGTCTTAACCTAACCTAACCCTCAAATAAAACGTTAGTCCGAATGAACGTTAGTGCGAATGTACGTTAGTCAGATCAAGAAATCATGAAGAATCATATAAAGTTTTAACCATTTTAACACAATATTAGACATGTTAAAACTTTAATGATTATTAGTTGAAATATATTAAATACGCATTTAGTTCTTTATAGATGTATTTTAAAGTGCAGGTAAAGGCAAAAAAGGTTACTTCCGCTTGAATGTCGTCTTTCTTTCAAATTATCAAACAAACAAACTATTTACTTGAGTCATAAACAATTTTTAATGTTTTTTTTTCAAATCAAAATACATTTATACATATCGTAAAATGTCATCATTGCTTTTTATGTCTTACATTGTGTTGAAATGGTTAAACCTTTAAGGGGAGTCCACCTAAAGGAAAAGTCCACACCACGCATGACACCGGGTCTGCGTGGTTGGTGTTTAGAAAACTGGTGATTACAAACAAATGCATAGATTCCATATCGTTGAACTTTCACTAAAATGGTCGACCTGAGGACGTATCTGATTGTGTACTAGATAACTTTCTATATATATACAAATAAGAATCTATAAGCGGCAAAACAAGTCCTCCAAAGTACGTTAATAGGACGGACCGTAATCTGGCGAGAAACGTAACATCCATTCCGTCCATTTTGTGGCCCATGACTAGATCGAGGGGCGTTCGGTTTTTTTTAAATTCACTTGTAAACTACCCGTTTTGGTCGGTTTTCAGTCGTACAAAAATAAATAAGTTTGTTCGTTTTCAGAATTATCGTGCATTTTTCATCTATTTCGTTCCAAACGATCGTCCGATTATTATACATATGAAGTCTATGAATGTTGTGTAATAAGTCAGGTTACTCTCGATGCGCTCCGAAGTACGAAAAATGTCGTCACCTAAGATAGATAGATAATAACTTGACGTTACTGATTTATTGAGGTGAGAGTGACATCACATTAGGTTTTTATCTATCTATCTTAAAAAACGACATTTTCCAAAGATTGGATCGCATCGAGAGAAACCAATAACCATGCTATTATAAAACCTAGGCATAGTATATGGACCCGGGGATATATTTTCTAAGACGACATTTAATATAGCCCTGGACTCCCTGGACTAGGGTTGAATAATTGAATAAAATGGTGATAGGTGGATAAAGAGGGGGGGGGGGGGCATAGTTTTTAAGTATGAGTTTCGCTTATAAAACTGTAACAGATAACCCGAGCAGTCTATTTATTTCGTGTTTCCTCCCTAGTATTTTATAATGAAGCAACTTCTGAAATATTTTAAAAACCATATTTTAACTGACTTGCTATGGTAAAGATTTAAATGCAATAGTTACATTAAAATCTTTCTTTAAGTCCCATATTGTTTCCTTGTCTCTGCTGCATAAATTCACTGATCACTGTATAGAGACACTACAGTTGAGAATTCTTGGGTAGGAAAACAATAATATCCTCATAAAATTTTCTCACACAAAAGAAGAAAGGATACTGATATGTAATTGATAATGTAATTTTAAATAAAATTCAAGGGTGCACTTGAAATTATGTTGAAGGTCGGCATCTAGACAAAAAGACAATTTTAAAAAAATTTTAAAAATTTAAGAAGTCTTAAGAGATTGTTCTGTTCTTAATTCATACATGCTGGCTTAAGTTGTGCACCTTCAATTAACAAAAATAAGAAACTTTTGAACAATATCGGACACATTTCATTAATTCTCAGACAATGGATGTATTTTCCAAATTCTTTTAACGTATTATCATAAACTTAAAAAAAGAATTTGTTTCCAGGAATTATTGTACATTTAAAATGCTGTGTCGATGATGGATCAATGATATAACAGGAAAAATTTAAATGCAATTCTTTGTATCTTAATTCATATAACATTAAATCTAAGATAAAATGTTTAGCTTTTGAGGCATAAAAATCAAAATATTTCTTTGCGCTGATACAAAGAGCCACGAATTTCAGTTATCTGTCATGATGATGGATTAGACATGAACTAATCCTGTCCAATTCTAGGTATCAGTGCAACTAAAGAACTGGAGCTTATTTAACCACTCATCCGAACCTTATCCCTCATTCATGATCTATAGCCAGGGATTATTTATTCTTAAACCTATATTCATCATTCGGCACCAGCATCCAGGGTGTACCAAGATTTTAAACCTTAAAATTATTATCATTTATGGTGTTTATTAATATTCATTGTTATTAACAAATATGTGTTATAGTATTGTTATTAAGGGTTTAATAATATTTTTGTACAATTATTATACTATAAATCTTTTATTTATTTTTAAGTAATAAATACTGACAGAGCTCTTTAATTTGGAGCACTGCAAAAGCATAATATATATATATATATATGTAATATATGTGATATTATGATTATTATTATTATTTTTATTATAATTATTATTATTATTATTATTTTATTATCATTATTGTTATTATTATCATATTTATCATTATTACATAAGCTGTAAAGTTCTATAGAAGCAGCTAGTCATATAAGCTGTATAGTTCTTAAGTAGCAGCTATTTACCTGAGCTGTATAGTTCTATAGTCGCAGCTAGTTACCTGAGCTGTATAGTTCTATAGGAGCAGCTACTTACCTAAGCTGTATAGTTCTAGGCACAGCTTGTTACCTGAGCTGTATAGTTCTATAGTAGTTAGTTACCTGAGCTGCATAGTTCTATTAGCAGTTAGTTACCTGAGCTGTATAGTTCTAAAGTAGCAGCTAGTTACCTGAGCTGTATAGGTCTAGGCTCAGCTTGTTACCTGAGCTGTATAGTTCTATAGGAGCAGCTACTTACCTGAGCTGCATAGTTCTATTAGCAGTTAGTTACCTGAGCTGTATAGTTCTAAAGTAACAGCTAGTTACCTGAGCCGTATAGTTCTATTAGCAGTTAGTTACCTGAGCTGTATAGTTTAAAGTAGCAGCTAGTTACCTGAGCTGTATAGTTCTAGGAGCAGT